GGACCAAAAGTGTGTGTAAACTTTATTGAGACCGGGACATATCAACCAGTAATTTCATTTCATTTCCAGTAACGGCGGTAGAAAGTTCAGCAATGAATGGTATGCGATTTGTGACAGAATATAGTCCCACAAATCGCTATATTGCTATATTATATATAATGAGCAATATCACTCAAGTACCAGAGCGATACCGGCTCTATATCAGCATGGCTGTGATTAGGCCAGGGGCCGCAGGCAATCACAGCCGCTGATATAGAGCCGGTATCGCTCAAGTACGAGAGTGATATTGCGTTTATACAACAGTTCGACGGCACCAGTGTAAATATATATGAAAAACAACAACGGAGTGTCTTTAAAAACCCTTTTGTGCGGAACTACTTCCTTCCGCCATAAATTCAAATCTCAGTTTCACATTTTAACAGCTGAGCTGAAGCCTCCGTTACTAATTAGAAAACGTCACTTTAGAGCTAGTAACGAAGGAACGTTGAGATGCTTCATAAAAAACGTATTGTATTACTTATTTAAAAGCTCACTGTGTTATGTAGAGTATTGTGAGAAAGAGATGGACTGACCGAGTGTGATTACCGCATCTGATACAGCATTCATTCTTCAGCTCAATCTAATATTGATGTAAAAGATTAGTTTCGATGTCCGCTGAGGAAAGCATTATCTTTGTAGTACTGTCTTTCATCTGTTAAGGGTGATTTCCGATGACAGCGCTGCTCAGTGCATTTGTTAACTGCGTCTTACAAGCTGTTATTAAAAATAACTTCTGTTTTAGTCTGTTTCAATGTAAAAGTCTTAAATGCCGACTCGTAAAACAGTCACTCGTCGCCGTCTAATGGCGGAACAATGTCACAAAAATCACCATCACGAACACACACACTGTTTCCTAATACTAAATACTACTATGTATATAAAACATTATTTATTGAATAAACAATACCAACAACAGCCATCATAAAAGCCATGCTCTAATATACAGCATTAAAATTACATAAAATATAACGTGATGAGATTTTGCCTTCAGCTGAAATTATTTTCTCTGGAACAAAAAATAGATTAATGAGACTAAAGACTGCCAGTCAGATTTACCCAAAACGAATTATATCTCATGTTTAACCACTATAGAGACATTAGAGCCAGCGGCAAATTCCAGAAGTTCTGTTGTTCGTGAGCGGGTTCGTGAGCGCTGAACGGCCCCGGACGCCCTGGCGCTCACGTCTCTGAAAACGTCGACGCAAATTTTCAAATAGACGTTATGTGAGCGCTGAACGGCCCCGGACGCCCTGGCGCTCACGTCTCTGAAAACGTCGACGCAAATTTTCAAATATACGTTATCTTTATTAACAAACCGTAGATTTGAAGTCTAAACAAGTACATTCTCGCCTAAAAACCTTTTAAAACTACATTCCGTGACACAAAAACAGGATTATTTATAAATTTTAGTGGATTTGGCTGTCCGCCATTACACTCGCTGTGAGAAATACTGGAAGCGGAGTGATCCAAGCGGTGAAAGGGCGTTCCTGTGGCGATACCAGTACAATTTCGCATGGTTCTCAACCAATCAGATTTGAGAACCAAAACTAACTGTTGTATATATATATATATATATATATATATATATATATATATAGTTGGCAAAATAACATCAGTTTGTGCTAAAATAGAGTTTCAAGACATGGAAAATGTTTTGTTCTCCCTTTTAAAGTAGATAAGTACAGTAGGAATACACAATATACATTGGTTCCATATTGATGATTTTTTTTTAAACCTGGTAGTCTGTATTGACTGATATTTGATAATTGCATATTTTGTGCATGCTTTGTTTATGCTGTTTTTCTGTCATCTAATGCTGACTTAAAATTAAAATATAATAAAACTGTTAAATATAATATTAGCAAATTTCAAAATAACTATACATTTTTCATACTAAAATTGTAATAATGTGATGCCTAAATTAACTAATGAATTAATTGGCATTTCAAATGTTTAAATTTAGTTTCTTTTATTTTATTTTATTTTTTTTAAACAAAATGGTATAAATACAATAATTTTTCATATCTGCTATTTATGACTTTTTGGCCATGACTTGAAAATAATTATTGTCTAATGTATTAGAGTTTAAATACCAGTGAATCCATATTCTTACCGTATTTTCTGGAAAAAAGTTTCACCTGGCTCAAAGTTGCATTGTTGAGAGAAAAAAAGACAAGTCACATCAGTGTAAATATTTAATTATTACGTTAAAAAATAATGTAAAATACTGGTAAAGAAAATACTTTTTTTTTAATTTTTTTTTTTACAAATTTTGTAAACACTAAATTCATGTATTTTAGTTCCCCTTGCTTCACAAAAATCCTTCAAATTTAATGTTATACAAAACAAGTATAAAATAAACCTAAATTCTAGTGGCATTCATTATAAACAACTTTTAAAGCAAAACTGAATTACCGGAGTGTGGGAAATGGGCTAAATTAATAAACGTGGCATGCTTAACAAGCACAAACTGCAAAAGTTTGTAAGAAATTAACTCATTTGTAATTGTAGGGAATTAATTATTATTAATTCATTCAGGTTTTGAAAGGACTCTAAATCTGAAAAAGTCGAGGTCCACCTGATTAAACTGATTTTTAATCTAAATGGTTTACACCCTATCAGCTACTCGGCCAGCGAGAAGATGTCAGTGTATATTACCAATTGAATATGTATTTTATGTTCTCCCTGGCCATGGGTTAACACAATTATGATAATTTGTCAGCTCTTAGAGAGGTAACGTTGATCTTGGCAAAGTTTTAACCTTGAAATTATATGACACCAAACCAATGATTTTCTATAAATGAAACATGAATTTATTGGCTATTCTAGATTACATCAGAACTAAACTAAAACACACATACACACACATACAGTTTCAGAGGAAAGAAATGAGAGTTGACGGAGTTCTATGAAGCTTCAACTGAAGTTCTAACTCGTTTCGCGAGTGGTTTTGAATTCACCTGAGAGAATTCCCGAAGCAGAGAATTTTAGTTTCTGTTTACTGCTTAAAGTAGCTCTACACCAGTTCAGCAGAGATATGAAACAACCCATTCAAATGAACCATCCGTCTTTTACAACTGTACAACACATGTCAACAGACTGATTTGAACCATATACTGTATGTGGGAAACATTGGAACAAAACATTTAAAGATTGATACTTAACTCTTTAAATAATAATAAACAACTCAAATTAAATTTTCTTTAGTTTCTCATTTGATTTATTCAAACCGGACCTTATAACTTAAAAAAAAAATGTCAACAGCACATTAACGGCGCATTCTGAGATAGATGGGAATAATTTAGGGTTGTGACGGTGAGGAAAAGAGGGGGGTAGTTGTCCCTCTTTTCCTTGCTTTCCTTCCGTTTTAAATAGCTTGTAAAAGCACCCTGCGCATTTTACTTTCATTTTCAAATTAGCGCCAATTCTGCGTCAAGCAGTTGTTTGTTTTTAGTTCGTTTGAGTTTTCCCTCTTTTCCTTACTTTCCTTCGCTTTTAAATAGCTTAAAAGTGCCTTGCGCATTTTACTTTCACTTTCAAATTCGCAGCAATTCGGCTTGAATTCAATGCTTAATATAAAATAACAAATAACTTACACAAAGTTTAGGTAGCTTATACAAAACTGAAGAGCAGTAAACACTGTGGAACCAAATAAATAAGAAACGCTACGTTTATTAGCAAAACGAATAAGATAGATTCGAAACACGGCATACTTTTTGTAAAATAAAAAAAAATATGCAGTTTAAATAAATTTAAATCAGCAAAAACCGTGGAACCAAATAAATAAGAAACGAATGTTTAAAAAAAAAACTCCAATATCACCTTAGATAAATGGCAGAAGTCAACAGGCTTTTCAAAATCCAAAATATTTTTAAAATGGGCGCCTTTGCATGTCGTTGTGAAACTCTTCTGCCATCGTCTTGTCTGTCTCACTTCACTCTTCTTTGTCAGCTTCTCCTCACATGATAAATTAAATCTGATCTGTGATGCGACTGTCATTCGGCACGCTTCATTGAGCAGCCGCATTCAGTTTTAATTTTAGTAAACTAAATGATTTTTATTACTATAAAAAATCAAAACGACGGTGGGCAATTGACATAACCAGTGTTGCGACTTCACACCGGTAAAATGGTCAACACCTTCTGTTAGCAGCAACACGAATTTCGTGTCCTGTCAGTCACTGCGTGAAATATAAAATTGAGTGCGCACCAGTACAAAGGGCGGAGCTGAATGGAAGGGGCGATTCTCTTCTGAGAACAGTCCTATTTGGCGGTAAATACATAATTCAACTTTAAATAAGTATGAAATGTATCAGTGTTTTTTTCTTCTTCTTTTTATTTTCGTTTGGACATGCTCATATGTTGGTGTTTTGATATAGCCTATTTTTTAAATATATGCTGTAAAAGGTTATATGGTACGATAGTATTTTAGGTTATTTAAATTGGAAAAAAAGCTAAGATTCTGCGGCACCCCTAGCCAGTTGTCACGGCACCGGCTTTGGAAACCACTGCTCTAAACTATCATCACAATTAAAATGATCATATTTTTTTTGCACACCACAATATTTGCTGAAAGTTTGAACTGTGTGCTTAGGACAGTGTTTTTTGTGAGGTTGTGGCAAGTTGTCACACGTTAAAGGATATGAATTTGTTAATTTTAATCATTTTCAGTATTTGTTGGCCAAACAATGTTTTGGTAATTTTATGTAACATTTTTATTTTTGTTTTTCAAATTATTTCGCTGTTTAAATTTTGCTTCAATGTTTTAGTAAACTTTTTAATAGCAGGTTTCATTGTGACAACTTACCCCATATAATGTTATAGGCAATACTTACCTCATATAGACGAAAGGTCAGTGTGTTTACAGTGAACTGTGTCTTTCCTTCCTGAACAGTACCGGTACTGTACTTTTTTTTAGTTTTTTTTTTTAGCCAAGACTCTATGGTTTGTGCCTCTGCAAAAATGTACTTTAATAAGAAAACATGCACTGAGAAATATTCAGTGAACCCTACAAGTGTGACCCTAGATCAGGTTCCTTATGCTTGAAATTGTATGTTATAAATGTACTTTACGGTTTAAATAATGTATCATTATTTCTTTCACATTACAATAGGCTACTGAGAATTAGGAATGGGGATTCTTAACAGCTGAATCATAAATCTTCTATGAAACAACTGAATAATAATGAACCACAACATGTTCTTAGTTTCTTAAAGAAAAATCTCTGTGAATATATATATAACTGCATTTCCCCTCAGTCATAAATTCCACAGGTGTAGTTTAAAGGCCTTAGTCGAGCTGTTGATGCTGGGGAATTATTAGGTCCAAACTATTATAATAATGCTATTGCTCTTATAATCCTTCATGATATGACCGAACATTGTTATATCTGCTACTAAGGCAATTATGTATTGTATTTGTGATTTTGTTTTTGCAGCATGAGGCTTGTAATCTGGGTCACCTGGGAGTGGTGGAGGAACTGCTCCAGCAGGGAACGCTGTTGAACACTCCAGGCTATCAGAACGACTCTCCACTGCACGACGCCGTGAGGAACGGTCAAATAGCGGTGGTCAAGCTTTTGGTTGAACGAGGCGCATCCCAAAGTGTCCTGTGAGTACTTGACCTTACACTCTCTCACCAATCACCTGAAGGTTTGGTTGGAGATCAGATTGATATTTCTTTAAACAACACTGTTAAAATAAACCCAATCAGGCTGGATGGTACAGCATAACTGTAACACTACCTGTCAAAAATGTTTGATTTAGATTTTAAGTTTAGATTTTTTTTTAATGCTTTTGAAAAAAGTCTCTTATGCTCACCAAGGCAGCATTTATTTGATAAATGTTTTTCAAAAATTCAGTAAAACCAGTTTCTTATTATTTTAAACTTTATTATTATTAATATTATCACTTTTGCTGCTTAGTATTTTTGTGGAAACTGGATATATTTGAATTGTAAATCTTTTGTAAAATTCAGTCAAAAGTTTTGATATATACATATATATATATATATATATATATATATATATTTACTGCACCTCAACGCTACAAAAGAAAAGATGTTGCAAAATCTCTACAGGTTGACACATTTCTCTTGTTGAATGGTATACCATTATATATACTTCTCAGCCCAGTTATGTGATGGTGTTTTATTCATTGATTTTAAATGTGCATATTTTGTAACTTGTAACTGCGCCATGGTGTGTACCTGGTGTCGAGATGTTTGGGAACTTCTGCTTCACTTCCTCCCACATGCCCTTTATCTTAAAGGTGCCATAGAATGGAAAACTGTAGTTACCTTAGCATAGTTGAATAATAACAGTTCTGTACATGGAAATGGCATACCGTGAGCCTCAAACACCATTGTTTCCTCCTTATGTAAATGCAAAATTTGCATGCAAAAGACCACTGAAAAATAGGCGAATCAGAACATAACATCGACTGTGAAAAACAAGCGAGGATAATAGCGAAAATGGCAGATCATGGAAATAAATGTTATGTTCCAGACTGTGCAGGGGATGTGATGTGCAGGGATGGGTTGGTGTCTGTATTCAGAAAGGCACGGAAAGCAAATGACGCACGTTCTAATAAAATAACGCGAGCCACTAAAGGGACATGGTTAGCTGCTTGCTAGCGGTAGTCTGTTATATTACAGTACATAAGATTTCACTTACCACATAAACAGAGTAAGGAGAGACGACTGAGGATGATGGCAAATGATTTACAGATCCTGAGGACCACTGACAAGCATCTGATCTTGTAAAATGTGTGGCAAGTACTGCCGCTGTAGTTTACACAGAGCACGTGCGATCGCAAATCTCGAAAGTGAAAGTAAAAAGCGATCGTGCATTCAAAGGCAGTTTCGATGCCCCACATATTAATAGTGGCTCCCTGATGCCCGCATTTTATATACAGTATAATTACCCAACGATATAACTGCGAGAGACAGTATTGAAATATATATTTTCCCTGTGTTTCCTTCCTGCTGTGTGAGCTACTGAAATGAGCCGCACTGTGAAACAGCCAGTCAGAGCAGAGCTCAACATTATTATTCGTGACCCTTCCAAATAAGGTAAAAACAGACCATTTCATTCTAGGGACAAATCCTAGGGTTGTAAATGGACATGTAAAACCGTTTCTGGAGATTTTTTGCCCTTACCTAAGCCACATACCTTCTACGTAAATATCAGAGAACAATTCAAAATATTGTATCAATGCATTCTATGGCACCTTTAATGAACTCTATTTCCCCAAGATTGGCAGTGAACCCAGATGCGCGAATGCTCATCCCGAGAGTTCTCTGCATGCGTCTCTGCGTCTCTTTTTGTCTGTCTGCCCTTTGTATATTGATTGACTAGTGCTGTGCTGTACATTGGAAGCGCATCAGCAGATTTATGCTTCGTTAGTCAATGGTGAAGTGAAGCATCAGCTCTGTCATAGAAGCACTGCACAGAAGCAATCCACTCCTGTCAGACATAATCAATCACTTTCACTCCTTGCGGTCTGGAATCGGAGCAGTGGGGCTATGGGGGGAACTGCTGTGGGCAGAGCCTTCGCTGTAATGTGTTGTATGAATTGACTGGCACATCCCTGCTGTACCAGCAGTAATCTTTAATGCTTTTCAGATCTGAAAAGCTGCTTCTTGAGGGACCGTGAGGATAGCAACTACAAGCGAGACAGAACCGGTAGCTCTAGTGAGCTACATAAGCAGTATCCTAACTGTCACAGAACCTCATAAGTGACTGATTTGGAATGCTCTACATGGACAGATACACATCACAAACAGCACTTCATATGAAATTCGACTCGACTCATTGATTTCAGTAGAGTTTGGTGATGTGTAACTTGTTGGTAAGCGTAAAGCATAAAAATACATAGCACTCAAATATTAGGTAAACTAGTCAATCTTTTTATAGCTATTATATATTTAATATTTTTTTATTAAATGTTTATTTATGTAAAAGTTTGGGATTTTTCCCAAATGTATGGAAGCTTCCGTATTTCCGCCACTGAATAAAAAAATTATAATAGGTAATTATGACTTATCTCACTATTCTGGCTTCTTTTTTTTTCACGTTTATGTCTTCCAATTCTGACCTTTTCCTTAAAATTGTGTGATATAAACTCACAATTCTAAGTTAAGTCAGAACGGCATGAAATAAACAATTAAAGTCACAATTCTGACTTTTTCCCCCAGAATTGTGAGTTTGTCTCACAGTTTTAACTTTATAAAATGCAATTGTGAGTTATAAAGTCAGAGTTGTGAGAGAAACTGAGTATTGTAAGGAAATATCAGAATTGTGAGCTGACTTTTCCCTCAGAATTTGACTGCAAGCTTTTCCCAAATGTATGGAAGCTTCCGTATTTCCGCCACTGAATAAAAAAATAATAATAGGTAATTATGACTTCTCACTATTCTGGCTTCTTTTTTTTTCACGTTTATGTCTTCCAATTCTGACCTTTTCCTTAAAATTGTGTGATATAAACTCACAATTCTAAGTTAAGTCAGAACGGCATGAAATAAACAATTAAAGTCACAATTCCGACTTTTTCCCCCAGAATTGTGAGTTTGTCTCACAGTTTTAACTTTATAAAATGCGATTGTGAGTTATAAAGTCAGAGTTGTGAGAGAAACTGAGTATTGTAAGGAAATATCAGAATTGTGAGCTGACTTTTCCCTCAGAATTTGACTGCAAGAAAATAAGTCAGAATTGTGGGATATAAACTTGCAATTGCCAGAACTGCGAGTTAATATCTTGCAAATCTGACGTTTTCAGATTGCAAGTTTAATTGCCCAATTTGGACATGCAATTGACTCTTAGCCAGGAGTTTGATTGACAGGCGATCTGACCAATCATAACGTTAAATCTGCCATTTTGTTCGACAAACAAACCAGACAGGAGAGTAGATCAACGTCGGTGGATGTAAACTTGAAAAAGGGTGTGTATTGACATCTTTCCGCAGTTGAAACAAGATACATTCTTATGTTCATTCATGTTTATTTAGTGCGATAACTATTTAAGAGGAAGAGGTGATCAGTTCATCTGCCGCTTGAACTGAGGCACTACTATCTGTAATGACACATTAAAGAGCCACAAAACAGTATTTGTTCAAATAAAAAAAAAAAGGACAAAATTTGAAAGCTGAGACTTTGTTTCAAACCAAAAGTAACCTGCTTTGTCTTGTTTGTCAGCACTATGTACGATTGATTGCACTGTTTTTTATTTGTTTTCAATATTTTTTATGTTTTTAATGTTACATTTTTATTTTTATTTCTAATTCATCTGTTGTGATTATCTTATGATTATTTTAATTCTGTTTTATGTTAAACACTTTGAATTACCATTGTGCATGAAATGCGTTATAGCCTTGCCTTTGAGTTCAGAAATCATTCTAATATGCTGATTTGGCACTCAAGCAACATTTATTATTATCACTAATGTTGAAAGTAGTTGTGCTGCTTAATTTTTGTGGCAACTGATTTTTTTTCAGGATTCTTATATGAATGGAACATTCAAAAGAACAGTACTTATTTGAAATATAAAAATATTATTTTTATTCTTTTATTTTATTATATAATATTATTTTATTAATACATTAAATGTCTTTAATGTCAATTTGATCAGTGGAAAGGCATCCTTGCTCAAAGTATTAATTTTCTATCAATTTCTTTTTAAATTTGCATTTTAATTTTTACTGAGATACCTTTATGGTTGCAAATGGACACAGATATACTATACTATACAGAAAGGAGGAGAAAAATCCTGTGTTACTGCTGTAGCTGGCAAAATCTTATTGATTTCCACAGAAATATGAATGTATTATATTAAACAAATATAAGGAATTTTGTCATCTACAGCAGTGTGCAGGGAAATATTCACATATTAAATATTTAGATGCACAACAAAATACTCATTAAGGAAAATATAAAGATTTTGTTTGCTTACATTATAAATAAAAACTTTCTATTATAAATATATATACAATACAATAAATAATATAAAGTTCCCTGAGAAGAGCATTCCATCAAAAGAAGCTGTAATATCTCTGGCTTTTTTAACCAATTACACAATATTACATTCCGATTTATATATTTTGTTTCCCTCTGCCACAAAACTCCCATTCTCTATAATTGTTTGAGACAAGACTTGTGAGCATCCCTTTGAACCATAAAATGACAAAAGGGACATCTTACATTCTTTTAAACTTCATAGCCATGCAAAAATAAAGGCCACAAGACAAATCCACAAAGTACGCCTTTCTGTGAGGTTTATTTATTCCCAGTTGGATGGAACTTTTCATTGAGTGAGGCATTAGCAGGCTTAACAGAATACATCTAGAGGATACACAGTTTGTCAAATATGTCCTTGAAAATGTTTTTGTTTTCAATAAAGAGCATTTTGCATAAACTATACATACAGGTGCATATCAATAAATTAGAATGTCGTGGAAAAGTTCATTTATTTCAGTAATTCAACTCAAATTGTGAAACTCGTGTATTAAATAAATTCAATGCACACAGACTGAAGTAGTTTAAGTCTTTGGTTCTTTTAATTGTGATGATTTTGGCTCACATTTAACAAAAACCCACCAATTCACTATCTCAACAAATTAGAATATGGTGAAATGCCAATCAGCTAATCAACTCAAAACACCTGCAAAATAAAGAGCATTTTGCATAAACTATACATACAGGTGCATCTCAATAAATTAGAATGTTGTGGAAAAGTTCATTTATTTCAGTAATACAACTCAAATTGTGAAACTCGTGTATTAAATAAATTCAATGCACACAGACTGAAGTAGTTTAAGTCTTTGGTTCTTTTAATTGTGATGATTTTGGCTCACATTTAACAAAAACCCACCAATTCACTATCTCAACAAATTAGAATACTTCATAAGACCAATAAAAAAAACATTTTTAGTGAATTGTTGGCCTTCTGGAAAGTATGTTCATTTACTGTACATGTACTCAATACTTGGTAGGGGCTCCTTTTGCTTTAATTACTGCCTCAATTCGGCGTGGCATGGAGGTGATCAGTTTGTGGCACTGCTGAGGTGGTATGGAAGCCCAGGTTTCTTTGACAGTGGCCTTCAGCTCATCTGCATTTACATTCAAATTTATTGAGATGTACCTGTATAACCGTGATTTCAGGAATATGTTTGGCCTGCAGCCGGTAGATTATGCGCTGACTCCAGAAATGCAAGAGGTCCTAAGAATGGCCCCAGAGGCACCACATCCTGTAACAACCACCCTGAGCCCCACCACCAGCCTCAGTAAGGTACATGACTGGACCCGCCTCACAGACAAACAAAAACACTCAAAACAAACAGATAAAAATGGTAAGTCTTGTAAGTCGCTTTGAGACATCATCTGTCAAGAACATAAATGCAAATGAAGTGTGCGGTACAGTTTATTTGTATTCTTGCAGGCTGCAGGCTGTGTGCGAGAGACGGGTCCAGTGGTTGTGATTGGCAGTCAGCTGACGCAGACTCAGCAGAAGCAGCTCACCAAAGCAGCTCAACTCCTTGGAGGGAAACAAGTGCAGTCCTTTTCTAGAGCAGGTACATCTCCTTTGATTTCTTGTGTAAAGAAATGAGTGGGCGGTGTATCATAGTATTAAGGAATGAACTACTGTTCAAAAGTTTGGGGTCAGTAAGATTCTTTTTAAAAATTTTTTTTATATATTTTGAAACACTTTTATTCTCACAATGGCTGTAGTTATTGTGGAATATCATTACAATTTAAATAAATGTTTCTTATTTTAATTTACTGTAAGATGTCTTTTAATAGTGTGATGGCAAAGCTGAATTTTCAGCATCATTACCCCAGTATTCAGTGTCACATGGTCCCTCAGGAATCATTCTAATATGCTGATTTACTGCTCAAGAAACATTTATTTTTGTCGAAAAATGTTGAAAAAAACTTGTACTACTTGTACTATTTTTGAGGAAACCCAGTTTTTTTTTAAAGAACAGAATTTATTTAAATATAAATATTTTGTAACCTTATTAATGTTTTTACTGTCACTTTTGATGAATTCATGGCTGAATTCATCATGCATCCTTACTGAATAAGAGTATGAATTTCTTTTGAAAAAATCTTACTGATCCCAAACTTGACTTGGAGGCAAATCAAAAGGTATTATTATTCATAACAAATGAAGTCAGTGCAAAAACAGCTTCATATTTTCCCTAAAAAAGTTGCAAACAAAATACTTAAAACAGTAAAAATAAATAATAAAACTGATAGTTTTTAATCTGTTTGGAAAAAAACCCATTCAAAGGAGTTGTAAAATGGACAATGTGCCATGCTTTTAATACAATGTGATAAGTCGGAAATACAGTATATTATTATTCTAACTTTTGACATACGGTGCAGTCTAATATTGGTTTTGAAACTATAGACCAATCAATTGAATCTGGTGGCTGGATAAGCTTATTTATGTGCTCAAGCGTATGAGTATTTATATTAGAAAAGGTGTAGGGTGTTTTTTTCCCCAGATTTTTTTGACTTGCCAATTTTCGTACACATACTCATATAATTCATATTGTTATGAAATATGTGGCATATAACAACTAAAAGGTTTTTTTTTTTTGAGTCTGCTGAGGATAAGATTATTTCAACACTACGTGGTTGGCTCAAAACAGCTCAAGAAAACAATGAGACCTTTTCAGAGCAGTGAAATTAAGTGTCTCTTCTTTCTTTGCCTTTCTTCCATCACATAGAAGAGCATTATAAGTCATCCAGCTGAAGCATAAGAGGGATATTATGAAATCATACATTATGAAACCAGCACTTTCAGTGACAAATGTAGCTCTCGCAGAGTCTTTCGACTCCCCCAGAAATCACACCAACAGACAAACAATGAGCAGTGTCTCATCTTCTAAGCAATCAAAGTTGAAACAGAGTAGAATTAAAGTAATTGAAGCAGTTTCTCATACGCTGCACATAGCTGAACAAGGGTAAAATGCAATTTTGTCGAAGAATGTAGGCTGTGTGTTTGTCACACAACAAAGGGAAGGGATTTTTTCTGTGTCTAGATTTAAAATAATCTCAAGGGATTGGTGAAGTGTGGCATACTACTTCTGTATTAGGAGCCTCTATATATTGCGTCTTTGTTTTTCTGACATTCATTGTTAGCGGTGTTATAGTTAACTAAATCTAATAAAATGTGTTGTCAGTAAATGAAATAAAGTGGAAATAAAATATCAGTATAGTATAAAATATCCAAAAATGATAAAAGCACAACAAAATTATTAAAATGAAAACTGAAAATATAACAATTTCTCAATAGAAATGAACAAATTACTATATCACTGTTCATTTATTTGTTTATTTATTGTAATTAACTGCTTCCCCCTTTGTTTAAATGTCTGTCCAGTCACCCATGTGGTTGTACCAGATGCTCCCATCATGCCTTCTTCCCTGACCACACTGCAGGGCGTCCTCAACGGCTGCTGGATCCTCACTTTCAGCTGTAAGCAATGAGTCAAAGCTTTAAATTGTTGCATACGTTTATGCTTGGAGAAGTTTACATGAATATTAGCACAATCTGAATGTCCGTTTTGAATGCTGAGGTTTCTAGATGATAGAAATACAGTCTCCAAAGAAACCGTTACTGCATTCAGATTGGCAAACATGTGTACAGGTAGGCAGTATTTACTCTGTGTTGTTCTTGAGCAATGGCTAATTCTGTTGAGCAAACCAATATAAAATACCTGTCAGCCTATGGAAAATATTAATACTATTGTTTGATTCTGTGGGTTTTCATATGTTTGAAAACGGTAATAATTTTTTCTATTCAATTTGATGCAGCTATGAACTTTGCATGTGGTCCTTGTTCTGTGAGTTATTTAGTGCTGCGTATTTCCATATGTACGATTTTTCACAGCTTCGGTTCCATAGTGAAAATCAGTAGGCTCCGACTGTGCTGCCCATTCATTTAGCCCTAATTCAAGAAATTGTTAGCTTTTTTGAGTCTGCCTTCTGTGCTGAGTTCATTTCTATCAGTGCAGGAGCAACATCAGAAGTGCACGAATGCTGCCTGAAGGAATCATTGCTGTTCTGGTGTTTGTTCTCCAAGCTATCTATTTTGATATTGGTTATTGTTAACATATTTGTTATCCATCTTTAATATCCAGCCCACGGCAGACAACACCTTTTGAGGGCAGTTTTACTACATCATTTATCAGTAAAAAAAAAAAAGGGTTCTTCAAAAAGTCTTGCAGTAGCAATGTTACATGCTGGATATTTCTGCATAATGTATTTTTCGGGATAATGTAACAATTTCTAATGTTTAATTGCATGTAACATTAAATCAAGATTCTGGATGCATCTTCATTTAAATCAGTAGTGTGTTTCAGGTGCTCCATATTCACTACAATGTCATTTTCAGGTAATTCAAAGCATTTTTAACCACCTCTAGTTATCATGCACATCTAATAACATTATTATTATTAATTAAATAATATTTTAATGTTGTGTTTGTTTATTTTATAATGTAAAATTGCTAATGTTATTATGATATGATTATTAATATAATACTTATAAATATGCATCAATATTATTTAATGTAACAGTGATAAGAATAATAATATTTAGAATAACAATAATACAAATATTGTAATAAATTCCAGAAATAAGCTTATTTGGTCTGTTTTGCAGTACAGTATTTTCATTTAATAAATACATTTAAAAATAATTCAATATTTTTTAACTTGACTGTATATCAAAATGAGTGTAAAAAAAAAGGACCTCATTCCCAAAAAACACTTTTAAGTGTGTTTTTACATCTGCCTTAAATTATTATAGCACGCCTTTTGTTCTTTTAGCTTTAGCAGCAGTCATATATTGTACAACTTTTTGTAATTATATCACTGTTCAAATCACAGTTGTGTTTTTTCAGATTAATCGCAACATGATTTTGGGCCAAATGGTGCAGCAATAAAATAATGTCTCAAATGGAAGAGTGAGTGAGTGAGTAGGTATGCATGGTTCACTTTAACACTTGATCTGTGCCACACTTTATGAGCTGTTGATGCTGTGCCTCAGATCTCTGTTCTTCTGTATGGGTCTCCATGGCTCAGTGTATCACGGTTCAGTGCCCGTGAGTGTGTGAGCTGCCAACGCAACCGATCCACAGCTACCCACCACACACACTCACGCTGAGCTTCGTTGTCCGCTCCCATCATCGGGAATCTAATTAGCTAATATGCTAATGGCTCTTTGCTGCTCGGCTAACAACCTGGCCCTATCATCCAGAGAGAGAGCCGGATTAACCCCAGGATGCAGAATCCTCACGCCACCGCTCTCACGGGGTCCCGGGAAATGAACACTGTAATTAAAGAGGCAGAGGAAGTGCAATTACAGCTCATGATTACTGTAGAGGATTGTGCGTGTGTCTGAACGGGCTCCTATAGGTGGTGTCGGTGTTCTGTTACCATGGGCTGGGCTGGATATAAAGATAGCACTACACAGTGACATTCTGAATGCAGGAATACTAGTACTGCTAATCAGGGTCTGAATTGTGTGACCATCGGGGGGGGGGGTATTTTTATGTTTTAAATAGGACTGTCAAGTGATTATTTAAAAAAAAAACATTTTTATTACATATTGTGCCGATTAATTAATCAAATGAATCTCAAATGAATTAGATTAATTAACATGTATATCATGTGCCATTTAAAGATAAAGTTATTATTAAAGATAATAGTTATCATTGTGTTAATTTAGAAAAAAACACAGAATAGACATTACAAAAAGGTAGCAGAAATATAAGTAGCTTTAGGAAGAAATATTTTAATTCAACATAAAAAAACACAAATAAATAGTGAAATATGAAAATAAGTTATGAAACGCTACTCTGAATATAAAATTAAATGCACCAGTAGGTGGCGGCAAATCCCTGTCTTAAGTGAGTCATGCAATCATTCATTCAATCGATTCGTTCAAATGACTGATTCATTCAGAAACGAAGCAGGTGACTGCCTTTATGAATGGTTCACTGAATCATTGATTCACTCGATTCATTTAAAAACGTGGATTGATTCATTAATGAAACACGGCTGTGTGTTGATCTGATTCGCACAACAGTTCTCCTAGGGCTTTATTTTCATTGGTGAAATTACTGACAATGTGTTTAAAATGTAATTATTCACACCTTTACCTTATCCATTTTTAGGTAAAAACTTTTATGTAACCTATTTTTGTCTTTCTACCAGCCAATGATGATTCTGAAAGAAAGCACAGTGTTTGTTATAACGTATGCAGCTTTCACGCGCATCTGACTGACAGAACCGCGCTCTTGTATTTCAGCAGTGCTGGTAATGTTATGGATATTTTAGCAAATATAATTTGCTCCATAAATTCAGTTCAGCAGCATTAAGTTGAAGAGGGTAAACTTTATCACTCGACTGAATCTACACGTGCATTTTAGGTGTTCTTGCTCCGTCCAAGCAATAAATGCACGTCTTTGAATGAGCGCTGTAGCGTATTCTTCAACTGCTCAGGCACTGAAACGACCCGTTTCAGTTACAACTATAGAAATGCATATTAATATTTACAAGTAAATCTCCATATTATGTGTAGGCTAGCCTTCTTTCTGTCTGACCCCCCCTACATCGTCCCATCAGGGGGGTTAAAGCCTTCTTTAGGAGTAAAATAAGTCAAGATAATGGTTGAAAAGCAAAGTAAAGCTCATGCTTATTTTATGTAATTATGTTATTAACTCTGGTAGCAATTAAAAAAAAAAAAAAAAATGTAAGAAGGCCATCAGAATCCAGACACCAGGGTATTCATGTGACGGTCACCAAATTTGGTCAACATCATGCCAAAACATTGAAGGTACTACATTGTCAACAGAGTTTCTATATCTTGAACGGTTTCGCCATGGCAAGGCAATACATGTATGGCAAAAAAGAGAAACAGGAAATGTCTGATTTCTTCTGCACACATTTAGTGATTTAGATCGAACTTCAGCTGTATGTTTGCTCCTGGGGCTGATCACATGACTGCAGCTATGATTCACAGTCATAACACTACCAGCTGGCAGCAGGAATTGTTGAATTTACAACAGACTCTGAAAATAGTTCTCTTACATTTTCCTGGTTAGATGTCTGTGCGCACAGTGCATTGTTTTCCTTGAGTCTCCAGGTGTGGATAACACCGTAGTGCCTGGGTCCGTCATTGCTGCTGGCAGCAACTGCATATTTGTTGATATTATTAGTATTTAATCATTAACTATTATTCAAATAAAAATAAATTATGTGAGGTGGATAATATATATATATACTGTTGTTAATAAACTAACAATTGGTCCCTCTGTAAATTCTCTTTGCCGCCTGGAAAATTCTCAGTCCCTCAAAGTGTATAACGGCCGGGAAGCAAGAAAACACATTCAGTGGTATTCTCAATACTTTAATTTTATTCATAGAAACAAAGATATTATATAGGCATATGTCGAGGGGAGTTTCAACCCTTTAACCAATGAGGATATAGATGACATACATATATGATCTTGGCCAAGAACATGTGTTTATATAAAATAGCCACATGTACAGAAAAATATGGACATATTAGGAATAGACTTGGCGAAGGATGCTGAACTCTCTTCACAGTTCATCACGAACCCCTTTCACCTTGGAGTCCTAGCTTTCGTCTCCTTATTTGAGCATTTGAACTAAGAAAAGCTAATGCATACATGTGCGCATGCGTACCTCGAATATGAGTAAGAGATATTTAAAACATA